GCGTACTATATTTTTTGATGAATTGAATTGTACCAATTTCATCGACGTTTTAATGATCAATAAGTACGGGAGATGCATAAATTATGTTTTAAATGATTATTTTAAGGTAGGTGAGCATTAGTGTTGCGTTTGGAATACAAGATCGCATAAATATGTTGAATTTCATACATGATACTCATATACTATACAATATATTCATACAAGTCTACAATGCTCAAGTGTAAAACTAATACTTTCCTCAATTCTTACCATAGTCGATGTTGATCTACTCCCACATTGTCTCCATTCATTCTTAATAGTCTAAAACTGAAGAGTTGTGTCTTAAAATGCGATCATATGGACGCATTGGCCCGACAATAATATATAGAATGTAAAAATACTATATGAATGGCAAACATATACTTTATCAGTGAACAAATCGTACTATAGTCACGACTCACTTGTACTTTACCAGCTTATACATTATACTTAATTGGTTAACAAAGCGTACTATATTTTTTGATGAATTGAATTGTACCAATTTCATCGACGTTTTAATGATCAATAAGTACGGGAGATGCATAAATTATGTTTTAAATGATTATTTTAAGGTAGGTGAGCATTAGCGTTGCGTTTGGAATACAAGATCCCATAAATATGTTGAATTTCATACATGATACTCATATACTATACAATATATTCATACAAGTCTACAATGTTCAAGTGTAAAACTAATACTTTCCTCAATTCTTACCATAGTCGATGTTGATCTACTCCCACATTGTCTCCATTCATTCTTAATAGTCTAAAACTGAAGAGTTGTGTCTTAAAATGCGATCATATGGACGCATTGGCCCGACAATAATATATAGAGTGTAAAAATACTATATGAATGGCAAACATATACTTTATCAGTGAACAAATCGTACTATAGTCACGACTCACTTGTACTTTACCAGCTTATACATTATACTTAATTGGTTAACAAAGCGTACTATATTTTTTGATTGAATTGAATTGTACCAATTTCATACATTATACTTAATTGATTAATAAAGCGTACGGGAGATGCAGATGAATTGAATTGTTACCAATGTTCATTCGACGGTTAGGTGATCATTAGAGTAGCGGGAGATGCATAAATTATGTTCCCAATAATTATTTTAAGGTAGGATTGCATTAGCGTTGCTACTCAAATACTAGATCCCATATATTTGTACAATTTCTTACAATATACTCATATACTATACTAATATATTCATACAAGTCTACCATGCTCAAGTGTAAAACTAATATTTTCCTCAATTGTTACCATTCTCGATATTGATCAACTCCCACATTGTCT